AGATTGGGACTGAGGCTCTCAGTGCAGGGCTGGACAAGTTACTTGTCCTTTGGGCAGATACTGGCAGCCAGAATTTCAGCCTATGGAATGGGAAGCAGTGAAAGACATTTGCAGAGTTGTTAACAAGGCAGACACAGGATAAGAGAAGCATGTGAGAGCTTGGTTCCTGGGCGTCCAAGATGTGGCTGCACCTCTGCCCTAGGGCTCTTTCAAACAAAGCCCTCTTTTTGCTTAAACTATATTCAGTGGGTTTTTCAACAAGTCCTAACTAATACTTTGCTAAGGCTCAGGCTTTACTGATGCATGGTCTCTGCCCCCAAAGGTCATAAACCAGTGGGAGATACAGGCATACACACTAAACATTAACCACAAGGAGATGAACGCTACAATAAAAGTTAGATCAAAGCAAGGAGATTATGAAGCCATAAATTAAGATAACAGATGGAAGGGAGTTTTGAAAAGAAAAATTGTGCTGTGTGGCTATCTTGTAGTTATACCCATGAAGTCAACTGCATTTCTACTTTTGTTTAATCAGAAACACAGTTACCTTACATTCACAATAATGCTATTATAAGGCAGTGCTGGCCTGTTATCTGGTAATGGGTGAGTCATCCATGGTTTCCAAGCTTGTGCTTTCTCAGTTGTGTTTGGTGAGTAGATGGATAAATGACCTTCCAATTTCTCACTCGGCCAGCCTTTGCCACCCTGTGACACCTTTCTTCCTTTTTGGCCCTGCCTTCCTCAACCTCTCATTGACTCCTTGAAATGAAAAAGCAGCTGACTCACTAAAATAAAATACTGCAGGTGAATCACTGAGGGAGAAGTTTGCTAATTGACATACCATTCCTGTGTTAGCCACATGATGGTGACATTAAGTCTACTACCTGAACAATCTTAACAATCATCCAGTTCAAGGTCGCTTCACAGTGTTCACATAATTTATGAGAGTGCAATGCTACCTTATTGAGAAAGACCTCCTCTCCACCCTCATCACAGACATCTTGTTTATTCCTGATGAGTTTTGATGGCATCGTTTAGGGGCCCCCTGATTTACAGGAGCAATGGGTGCTTTTGTGTCAAGCTGATCTAGATTCAAATCCCACTATTGATCATTTCTGGAGATATGTGTTGTTTAAAATTCTATAACACAAAAGTGATTTCCCCATAAGAACAGCAGTGGCCCATGTGCAACAATGAGGTGGCTTCTGCCTATAACCCTAGCTACTCAGGAGGCTGAGATCTGAATGAGGATCATGGTTCAAAGCCAGCCAGGGCAGGAAAGTTTGTGAGACTTTTATCTCCAATTAATGACCAAAAAGCTAGAAGTGGAGGTACAAACAGCTCAAGTGGTAGAGTACTAGGGATAGCACCTAGGCCTTGAGTTCAAGCTTCGGTATAGGCACACAGAAAAAGGAAAAAAAACAGCTCTAAATTTGGGAGCATAACCCTGAGAGCATCCAGTCCATGGCCGTCAAGAGTCTTGTCCTTTTTGGAGCCTTTGCTCCCTGCACCATGCAGACACATGAATCAATAGCAAGTGCTGCACAATGATTGCTTCCTGTCACATGTTATTTCAACTAACTGACTGCAATTTTATTTGTTCTCCAGCCAGACTACTTCCATTTGATGAATCCTAGAAATACTAGCACACTATAAAACACCATGTGTTGCCGGGTGCCGGTGGCTCACGCCTGTAATCCTAGCTACTCAGGACGCTGAGATCTGAGTATCCTGGTTCAAAGCCAGCCCAGGCAGGAAAGTCTGTGAGACTCTTGTCTCCAATAAAACACTAGAAAACCGGGAGTGGCGCTGTGGCTCAAGCAGTAGAGTGCTCGCCCTGAGCTCAAGAGCGCAGGGACAGCGCCCAAGCCCAGATTTCAAGCCCCATGAACGACCAAAAAACAAAAAACAAAATAAAATAAAATAAAAAATAAAAAACCACCATGTGTTGCCTCGATTGCTGTTTAGCTGCTAGAATGGCGCCGCCCTGTGGCAACATCACAAATAGCATACAATCCAGAGTCCAACCAGTTATTTTGTTGGAAGGGTTTTTTGTTTTTGTTTTTCAATACTGGGAATCCAACTCAAGGCCCTATGCTTGTTATGCAAACACTCTACTATTGAGTGCTTGGGCTTCACTAGTTTTAAAATAAAGGGATTCTAATTTGATTTTTAGGTGTATGTGCCAGTACTAGGGCTTGAACTCCTGGCTGCAAGCTCTTGTTTGACTTTTTCTGTTATGGCTGGTACTCTATCATTTCAACCAGGCTTTCACTTCCAAGTATCTTTTTTTTTTTTTTT